AGGGCGCTGTGTCTTATAGAGTGCTCCACAGACCGACTAAGACGAGAGTTGAAACGTATTTCGTTGTGTGTGTCTTATTTGACTGTAAAGTATAAGTGACTTTCCCGATCCCGCACCTCAAGGGTACGAGATATAGAGACGAGACGAGATTCCCCCCTGACACGTGTGGAGAACCCAGAGAGAAGATTTACCCCCCTGATATTACCATGGAAAAATCAAAATGACGGCCATGTCTGCAAACGAAAAGCACACTCACGAGCAACTGAACGTGTTGGGGTTCAGTTACGTCATATGCAAACAAGTATTTGGTGACACAGCATAGATGCGACACATGCTCTATGGGTAGCCGGTGATTTAAGTTCTTCCTTCTGAATACAAATCAGACTTCTTAGATCAAAATCTTGACCATTATCATGGTTACTCAGCGTGTTTACTTGGCCGTTTGACGAGATGTATTTGAAAATAAGCTTTATAATAATGCAGGACTCGTGACTTTTTACAGGGTGACATTTGAAGGTTGCCTGCCGTGGCGTCTAGCACACAATTTCAGGAAATTTCAAACACTGTAATATCACAATCACTTTTGTATACAGAAAAAAAATAACCATTGCTTTAGTTAATTTAACTGATCGTAGGATCATTATTATACCAGCGTTGTATTCAAAAAAATATGATCTTGTGATTAATTATTTCATAGCCAAATTTCAAAACAATCTCATTTAAACATCCATATGATAATTATCAATTGTGCAATTATCCTTTTAACGCACAACGAAATAAAACAGTCCGCGTTTTGCAATTTCAATTTCCTAATATTCAAATGAGAGTTCCAGATGGTGGTGTCTGGCGATGTTTTAAAAGCTTAACATTCTGTCTGCAATGTTTACCATAGCTTGTGATTCAGTCAATGTGCATGCCGTATATCTTCGCTTATTAGGCTAAACTACTTTACCATTGCATGTTCAAGACTAGGAGAGTGAATACAAAAGCAGATTGAACATAATAATTAGGTTTAACCCTACTTGATTTACAATGAGAACAGTAGAGTGTGTATTTATATACTCCAGCATATCTAGTTTAAATCGAAGCTCTTTTTTTGTAAACAGTTTTTATTTATTTAATGCTGATGTTCGGTACTCCATAATGTACACTATATCATATTATAATTTATCATAAAGTAACATTGTTGCTTTCATGTCATGATAAACCAAAGTATAATGAATACATCAACATACAGTATCAAACAAATGTTATTTTTCATATTGCATCTTAACGCCAATAATGTGGATGTTAATTAGTTAAACTAGGAACGTTCAAGGTTTCTAAGTCTATATCTAAGTGAAACTACGACAGATTTGGATAGGTGTGATAGAGCATGTTTGTAAGGATTAATCACCACTCGTCTGTTACCTATGTTTGTTTATTGTGAAAAGATCAATTTGTGGCTGAGAGTTAGGTATTTCACGCATGAGTGACATTTACTGCACTGTGTTCAAACAAGCATTGCTAGGACATGCACAATGGTATACAATTAACATTCAGCTTAAATGTAAAATATTCATTCAAATAGCTAGGTCGCCCTTTGTTTAATACAAAATTAAAACAATGGCTGTATTTCCTAAGCAAAATAAACCCTAATTAACCATAAACTATGTGAGATATATTAGCATTATTCTCAATTACCCACAATGCATATAACCTAAAGTAGCTGTATTTTCAATCGATCGCCACAATGCATGTTATTATCAGTTAACAACAATTCACGTTATCCAACTCCAATTCATGTTGTCTAAATAAGATAATATTTTAATTAACCTAATGCATGTCATCTAAATTAGTTGTATTTTTAATTAACCCCAATGTATATTATATTAGTTGATTAGTTAGCATAACCTGCAAGAAAAAGTACAGTGTATACCGTAATCTCCAGTGCTTATTATTGTCGTTATAATAACCTTTGCCTCCCCAGTGTCTCAATAGCCTAGCTAGAATTAAATTGTAACATATGGACACTGTGCATGTAGACATAGCAACATTAACAATGTCCACCAATTTATACTGTTGTGATATTCTATTTTGTGCTGTAGTTTATATATTGTGATAATGCCCAGTTACCTAGGTAACAGGTAATTAAAATTCTTAATATTGCTTGTACAAGACTGCCGTCGATATCCCTATAGTTAAATCATTTTACAGACTTGATTGTAATTCATATTACGTCTGTCAAATTGTCTATGATTTATTATGCATAGAATTATGAGTAGTCAGACACTTTCTGGCTGCGTGCCTTTGTTCGCCTTTCAGCGTGACGCCTAATACTAGTGTCGGGTATTTATAACGGAGTTATTCTACCAGTGTAGTAATTTTCATATGTTCCCAGTCAGTGGTCTAATAAATCTGATATCATGGGTCACGAATTTGAATAATGTAATTATCACATTTATCCGATTCAAAACTATCCACAATAGAAATTAACATTACTTTCGTGTTTGTGTGTGCACATGCTAATCTTATAACAGTTTCACCGACAGTTTATAACCTGCAATTTAAACATAATTAATGTATGAAGTTATTCCTAGTTATAGCAACACATTGTCAACATTTCGCGTAACATTTCGGTAAATCTATCAATGGATAAAGTGATAATCAAACGGTACAGTTGGGAAACGAGTCCAGTGCGTTGCAGGGATGGGGATGGGAGAATTAGAAACGACGATGCGCATAAATTCGACATTAAAATGCAAAATTACTGTTGACGGGTGTCTGAAGTACATTGCGGAAACATTCCAATTTACCTTACTTTAACAGTTGTTATCAAAATATCTTTTGTATTTGCAAATGAACTATGTTTTAGCTTTATAAGAGATTATCAGTTGATGACGTCATAGACTCTAATTGCGTGCAAGGACCAATTAGATCGTGTGTAATATTGGCAAAAGTGTGTAATATTGGGGTATGGTATTGAAAATATGACATGTTTTTGCATGATATATTCTGTGTTGTACTAGCATTTGGTAGATAAACAAATACACATATCTATAACGAAACTGTATGTCCTGCTATGCCAGTATGAACCCGGTGCTCTGAAGAATGCTGTAACATCATCCCGGATGAACACAAGCTCTTGATGTTGAGAACTGTAAACCCAATCCTGCGAGACTATAAATATTGTGCCGATACTACCGGGATGAGAGTGAACTTGAGTGTATGTACCAAGGCTGTGAACCTGAGTGTGTGTATACAGGTTGTGAACCTGTGTGTGTGCATCCAGGCTGTGTTCCTGCGTGTGTGTTCTCAGGTTGTGAGCCTGTGTGTGTGTACCCAGGCTGTGACCCTGTGTGTGTGTGTACCCAGGTTGTGAGCTTGTGTGTGTACCCAGGTTGTGAGCCTGTGTGTGTACCCAGGCTGTGAACATGTGTGTGTGTACCCAGACTGTGAACCTGAATGTGTGGACCCAGGTTGTGAACCTGTGTGTGTGCACCCAGGCTGTGCCCCTGCGTGTGTGTTCTCAGGTTGTGAGCCTGTGTGTGTGTACCCAGGTTGTGAGCCTGTGTGTGTAACCAGGTTGTGAGCCTGTGTGTGTACCCAGGCTGTGAACATGTGTGTGTACCCAGGCTGTGAACCTGTGTGTGTGTACCCAGGCTGTGAATCTGTGTGTGTATACCCGGAATGTGAACCTGAGTGTGTGTACCCAGGTTGTGAACCTGTGTGTGTGCACCCAGGCTGTGTCCCTGCGTGTGTGTTCTCAGGTTGTGAGCCTGTGTGTCTACCCAGGCTGTGACCCTGTGTGTTTGTGTACCCAGGTTGTGAGCCTGTGTGTGTACCCAGGTTGTGAGCCTGTGTGTACCCAGGCTGTGAACCTGTGTGTGTACCCAGGCTGTAAATCTGTGTGTGTGAACCCAGATTGTGAACCTGCGTGTGTGTACCCAGGTTGTGAGCCTGTGTGTGTATCCAGGCTGTGAACCTGTGTGTGTGTACCCAGATTATGAGCCTGTGTGTGTGTATCCAGGCTGTGAACCTGTGTGTGTATCCAGGCTGTGAACTTGTGTGTGTGTGTGTATCCAGGGTGTGAACCTGTGTGTGTATCAGGCTGTGAACCTGTGTGTGTGTATCCAGGCTGTGAACCTGTGTGTGTATCAGGCTGTGAACCTGTGTGTGTGTATCCAGGCTGCGAACCTGCGTATGTGCACCCAGGCTCTGAAGCTAAGTATGTGTACCCAGGCTGTGACCGTGATGGCGTGTAATATTGACCATCGTGTGCAAGACGAGTCATTTTTTTCTGACACCATTTGTGTTATGTGTTATTAGTCTTCGATTTGTTAACATCAAGGTGACTTGAAACTACTCTCTGCCTTTCTCCATTATTAACAATTTTTTACTTATATTAATTTGATTTTAATTCCGACGTTCATCGATTTTAGGGCCTTACCTAATATCTTCTAATTCAGTGATGTGAAGTCACTGTAAAGGTACCCAAGTCACAATTCTGCATTCGTTCCTGTAAATGTCATATCACCTAGCTATCATATTTGTTGGAATAATAAAAATGGGTATTGGATTTCGCCATATCGATGTCAAGAAATATTGATATTATTGGCTTCCGCTTTTGGCGAATATCATCAAATATATTACTCGGGAAAGGCGATAATATTAATATCGACGATGATTATATAACATCACTGGATTATGGAGTACTTCCTGGCATATTTTAAAGAAATCAACAATGAAATAATAATTCATTTATTGTAGCATGGCAACGACATTTGACATCAGCTTTCTCAGTATGTTTCCCTATGTTATTCTAATTAATCAGTTAAGCGTGTATTCAAATAAGGTGATGTATTCTATTGACTATCATCATACAAATACATACATTTGTGCAGATATTAATCCCATAACAAGCTGACGCTCTTCTCTTTGAACATTATACATTATGGACATTTTTGCTCACGCCTTGTGATATTAACAATATTAACAGAATGTGTATTTTTTATACAAAACCTCTCCCGTTATCAGGGTTGAATAGACAAATAAAAATAACAGGTAAGAATAATCTTTACGAAATGTGGTTAATCCAGGATAACTAAATATTTCACTAATGCAACATATTATAAATCGGTATTTGTTTGGGATCAAACACTGTGGGATCAGTTCTTTTAAGACTAAATAATCATCTGTATTAAGATAAATGTTTCATGGGCACTCGGAAACTATATTCCTTCCCATTGTTGAAATGTACAAGTCGCGTATAGTGTAAAATCAAAAGTGTATTAATATAAAAAATATCGAATCATAACATCCCGATTAAAGTCACGTTACATTCCTTTCACTTTGCTTGTGTGTTGAAATTTATTACATTATTTTATTCAATTAACAAGTCTCTACGTTGTGTTCAGATTTCATCATAACGTCCCTGTAATCTCACATTCTGTCTGCAATGTAAATGCACGCCCAAAGAGTGCGCTTTTTCAGTTTGCTCGTGGCGAATCCGAATTTGAATCCAGCTATTCGGCGACTATTTTGTAGTGTGTATTAATGTTTTATCCACGCGTTAATTTTAGTAGGAAAAACAAATTTGACATCGTCATATTTCCGTAACCTTCCGTAAGATTGAATTATAATTTTTGAATGATAAGTGTTAAGGTAGAGATGCAGTTTGCCTGACAGGTATTTTAATTAGTTAATTAGGAAACCAAGATGACCTCCCTTGTCCACAAAACTATATATTTTCGGAAAGCTTATTGTATGAATTTTAAAGTTTTGTTAGTATTTTATTTTTATGGACACTGTAGTTTGAAATATGCACAAAAATGTGCTTTTTTGGTCAAAAGTGATTTTAAAAAAATTAGCTTCTAAACCATGCTTCTGTTTCCTGTCAAAATTGGTTTATGGGTACATCTGTTTACTATGAAGAAAGCGCCGTCTTGAAAACTGTCTACCAGTTGTCAATTTTGTTGGGCAGCAGCTCAAATTTCACTACTTCAAGTTTATGCATAAATTAACACCCAGGCTAGTTGTTTGTACGATGGCTGTAACACTATTCAACTAAAAACAATGCCCCAACAGCATTTTGAAGATAAACACATTGTTAATCATTTGTGAAAATTTCAAAACAAAAGGTCAAAGCGTCTAGAAGCTATTTTTTTTAAAGTTCTGAAATGTGCACTAAAAAGAAGCTGAGATAATTGCTAATTTGCATAACAATTCACTCAGTAAGAAGTTTGCTAATGCTCATAATTAAAATGGCTGTTACAGTTTCAAATTTAAATGTATTATCGTTTTGTAAAAAGTTAAATACAGTGCATAATGTGGAGATCCCGTTATTTCTTTTTTCACCATGTTTTTTTTTTGATATTTATGTACAGCCTTGCTAAATCTTGCTAAGCATTCAAAAGAGATAATGTTTGCACCTGTTATCTATATTTTAAAATCGTTTTTTGAGTATGTTCCACTATTCACAATTCTACAAAATTTGAACAGTCTATAGCCAAGACTGTCTGGATAATAAAAAGCAAAAAACAAAAATGTTCACTCCCAAGTGCCCACGAACCTGCATCTCTACCTTAAGAAGTTGTTTGGTCACCATCATGATTTGGTGGCTTCCTGTGGGATGGATGTCTGTAACATGATTTCAGATTTGTTTGTTGATTGATGTGTCGGTCGTGTTTGTGATTGTGTGTTTGTTTGTCCAGTAAACATGATATGACATTGTTCCCTGACATGACATTACGGCGGGTGTGGCATGCCAGCAGCAGATGCTTACCCTTCACGTGCACCTGTCTGACTACCTTGTGGGGGTTTGTGATGTTCTGCTTCCATTGATTTTGTCAGTATATTTTTTTCTAGACTATTGATATTTGAAGAATGGCTTATTGGTCCTACTATAATTATTGATGTTAGAAACCCACTTTTCACTTTACATATTTATTTTGTAATAATAATAATGATGCACCAATAAATAAGTGCAAAATGGTATTTTTTTCATTGAACCATTTCCATTTTAACCATTCTAACCGAGCGTTCAGTGTGAGTGAAGCTTTCATATAATGTAAGCAAAGTTGTCTACTAAAGCTAAAATATGATGCTACTTCAATAAATATCGCAAAATTAGGAACAAATCAGAGATGAAATCAGTGTCACTCTAAAAACATCATTACGAAAAAAAACACACAGTATAAACATCCAACATGAGCAACCATGTTGACATTCTGACAAAGCGATTGAATTCACAATTTATTACCTCCAGTTCATATTCTTGATGTTCCAATTGATTAAGTGCCCATTCATCTGCATCTAATACTATATATTCCTTAAGAAAAAAAATCGTTTAATTTAATTAAAAGCATTCTGTATAGTGATCTGTTTCGTGGTAACCCCAATGGTAAACTTATGTGAAAGGCAAATATTGTGTAAAGAAAATTGATATTTATCGCAATGAGACATAATTGGAATAGCAAACCTACAGTGATACCCGCCAATTACAATTGTATTTGAATACACTACACAAAGCCTCTCTTGTGTGTAGTTTGTGGCGATGTATTTGTAATTTTAAAAAGTCACACCGAGAAATGGTGACCGCCAAATATAACTCTAACAAATACGTACACAGGGTATATTGCTTATTGTTATTACTTGAAATAAATGCTGAAGGAACCCAGTTGAATAGTTTACTGTTTATTTCCAAAAGTTGTATTTGAACACAAACCTCATCATCAATGTTGCTGTTATCAAGTTGTTTAAAAAATACATACGCCGGGTGGATTGCATCTAAGAACACAACGTCATTGCCAAACCTATTTCTGCATTCTGTAACAGAGAAATCATATATAGAGTTATAACATACGATGACATGCTAGGCAATATTCGATTTAATAAATGTTATATATGATTATTGAATGCATAATTAATGAACTGCTTCATTGACAAAAATATTTCAACATTGTTTTACATTACCTTCATCTCTTGTCAGTTGTAGACCCTCTAGTGCTTCTTTCAGTCTCGTCTCATCCACAAAAGGAATTCGAACAACACCTGAAATGTTAACATATATGTATTATTGCCTCTGTTCACATTAGCATATCTGCGAGTACGCCAATTAGAATGACCAAAATATACGGTTCTGCCGATTGTCATTTTTTTGCAGACTATATTGTGTCTACAAAACAATTATTGTATCTGAACATGGCACTTAGTGCCCTTCTTGTTTTTATTATGTTCCCATGGCAATGAATAGTATTAATAACTAGACTGGAACTGCATATTATATCAATATAAGATTCCAATAAAGTGTTTCCATGCCATTTCCTAATGCATTTATACCTTGTGTTTTATATCTCTCACCATTCAAATCTATTTCAAAGTCATCAGGATAGAAATCTCTAATAGGAGAATCCTGCAAATTAAGAATAATTCATGTAATCAGGATGAAATGGGTTACATGTATATTGCAAAAAAAATTATACTTGAAGAATATGAGGTTATTACGAGGATACGTCAAAGTATGAACCAAGACAGTACAGCTGGAGTATCGAACGACTCGCGGCGTACTGTCTGAGTACGTCTTTGTGTGGAGCCCGGTCAAACTTTTGTGGCAGCCATGTTTTTTTTCATTATTAGAGGACGACGCTTACTCGCGTAATCATTCCATATTTGGAATTCGCATTTCCGAATAGGTAGGATGAAAATACCCCGTAAAATACCGCAAAATTACGCTGTAACTTACGGCGTTACGGTGACAGATGTATAATAATATTATATATTGTATGGACTCACACCAGGTTCACCGGTCATTAAAGGTCTCCATGTCATTGGTAACAAATGATCATTACTAGGTGGTAATATCGCCATTAACTGTTCAAGCGGTTTCAGCTGTAAACAAATACAATATGATTATTATACGGCCCACGTTTGTAGAATGTCACTGGAATTACATTTACATGCATCACATTTACTATTTCTTACACAAATATTTAACAAGTGATAGTTTATTCATAGACCCTAGGTTTTCAGAACTGATAGGTACTTGACTGTTGTATGCTGCATGGAATTAACTTCTCAACCAATCCAATGAGAAAA